GGGTGATGGGTGCACCAAAATCTCACAAATCCCCACTAAAAAACTGGCTCATGTAACCAAATATCACCTGTTCCTGAAAAACTTATGGAAATAATCAAAAAAAGAAAAAATAGAATGATAAAATGACTAAAAAAAGACCCTCATAAAAACAAAACAAATCATTTGAGTTCATGGCTGAAAAGTAGATACAATTTTTAGAGTACAAATTCATGGTAGTTAACTTGTAATACGATCTACAAATGATGTTTATATCTACAGAGTGCCTGTTGCTAACATCTGGGCAATTTTTGAATAAGTTATATGAGCTGCAGTGCTTTAGGTCCTTAGTTTAGAAAATATAGATAAAAATGGTCTTTGCAGGGTTGGTACAAATCTATTAGGCTGTTTGTTACTGTATCATGCTGATTACATATATTTTCTCATTAAAATATAACAGTTATCTGAGGTTGATGTTATTTTTTCCACTTTATAGTCTGAAGAAATCAAGACTGCAGACTGAACAATCTGCCCATACTCAAACAAGAGGCAGAGAGAATTCAAACCCACACCCTCTGACTCCCATGTGCATGTTCAGAAGTCTATGCTACCTATGTGTAAGCCTCACCAAGTGTCACCCGAGGATCTTTATCCAAAAGAAGTATATTTGTCTTTTATTTTTTAACACCAGATCTTTCTACAGGAGACAAAAAACACAGATACCCCTTTACATACAAACTTCAAAGGAATGAATTTTCATTCATCAGAACACAGTCAAAATTATCGCAAAAAGACTCAGTCTGCTACTAACAGATGGTAACAACAAATGCACTTTGGGTCTACAGATTTAGGATTAGTATTTGACTCTAACATATTTGTAATAAGTTGAGGGTTTCTGTACATAGACACATAGGACCCATAATAAAATAGCAATAAGAATTCACTAAAGGCAATTTCTTAAAAAAAAAAAAAAATCGATGTAATTTACTAAAGAAAAATACCCAGCTGAAACTGTTTGTGTGAAATAAGATGAACTGCCTCTATTAACACTAACTGAAATTTTCCTATCTGCACACATCATGCATAAAATTTATTTCTATACATATTCTTTCCACCCATAAACTGCAATAAGTCCATGCTAAAGCACTAGCTTTTCAATTTGAGCATTCATGCATGGAAATTTATAGTTTTTTTGTGATTATATTGACAGATTTAACAGGTAAAATTCACTATTTGTAAAACAAAGTCTTAATTGTCATTGTTCAAAAGGAATGAAAATTCAATCTCCTGACTTAAGTTAGGAATTCATTTTAGAAGCTGCAATATCACTTCTTCATGTTTGCTACTTCAATAGCATCCTTTTTTTCTGAGACAGAGTTTTGCTCTGTCACCCAGGTTGGAGTCCAGTGGTGCGACCTAGGCTTGCTGCAACCTCCACCTCCTAGGTTCAAGCAATTCTCCTGTCTCATCCTCCCAAGTAGCTGGCACAACAGGCACACACCACTATGCCCAGCTAATTTTTTTATTTTTATTTTTAGTAGAGACGGGGTTTCACCATGTTGGCCAGACTGGTTTTTGAACTCCTGATCTCAAGTCATCTGACCACCTCAGCCTCCCAAAGTGCTAGATTACAGGCGTAAGCCACCATGCCCAGCCATCAATAGCACTCTTTTTTTTTTTTTTTTTTTTTTTTTGGAAAATGAAATGATTTGGATGTTTTAATAGTAATTGAATTACGAACCTTTTTTTTTTTTTTTTTTTTTTTAAGATGAAGACTTGCTGTGTTCCCCAGGCTGGTCTTGAACTCCTGGTCTCAAGCGGTTCTCCAGCCTCAGCCTCATGAGTAGCTGGGATTAGAGGTGAATGCTACCTCACCAGGCTTGAATGTTAGAAATAATTCAAATTAGTTATATCCATGTATTCAGCAATCTTTTATTGACCACATACTGTTTGTCAGGCTTCTGCTAAGCATTTGGAATATGGCCATGAACCAAGTCAGACAGGATCATTTCTCTGTGGCATTTGTAATCTCAGTGTGTGATGCTCCCCTCCCTGTGTCCATGTGTTCTCATTGTTCAACACCTGCCTATGCGTAAGAACATGCAGTATTTGACTTTCTGTTCTTGTGTCAGTCTGCTGAGAATGATGGTTTCCAGGTTCATCCATGTCCCTACAAAGGACATGAACTCATCATTTTTTATGGCTGCATAGTATTCCATGGTGTATATGTGCCACATTTTCCCTGTCATTCTATCATCAATGGGCATTTGGGTTGGTTCCAAGTCTTTGCTTCAATAGCATCCTTTTAACAAATATGGGCACTAGTACATGCAGGCTCGATGGCCCATATTTTAACTCCCATAAACAAACTGATAAATAAATTTTAAAAAATTAAACGAAGGTATACTTTTCCTTATGTTCACAATTACAATGATTCATTCTCTTACTCCCCTCCATAAGTATGTACATACATATAGGGGGCATATATGAATATATGAACATATGAATATATAAACATATAACAATAACTGTATGAATATGTATACTCATACCCATATAAGACTATACATACATACATGTATAGTATATACATACAAAAATACATATATATTCACAGTTATTGTAGGCTACAATCGTATGTATGCTAAAAATATTTTTGGCAAGTTTTTAAACACATAGATTATGGTATCATCTTATTCTTTAAGGATAACTTTAAAATAACTGACTTAAAAACCTCCTTTAGTTTATCAAATCAGAACCAAAAAAGGTAATTATTTTTATTAACCTATTGTTCTAAATAAAAATAAAGTATGATCTTTTAAATAAATAAAATTTGAATTATGTTATTGGCCCTTATTCATGTTTAACTAAAAAACAAATAATTATTCCTTTGAGATATTAGAAATCACTTCCTGTTCCAGTCAAAAAGAGTCAAAAAAGGCTAAAAACCATCCATAACAAAGTTTTCACTAACCAAATATAAATTTTAGTTTAAGAATATTACAGCTATAAAAGAAGTGTCTTCCCAGAATACACTAGATAATGGATTCTTGATCAAGTTTTAAACTGGAGAATGCAATGTGTTGAAAAAACAAACAAAAAACCTTACCTGTACAGCAATGAATCAGACAATAGAGTTGATCTAGAAGACTTTGTTGAAGACTTAGGAGAAATTGCTTTGTTGCTATTCCATATTTAGTCTTTTCTTTCCATAAAAACCAACTTAACATATCTTACTGATTATGAAAACAAGTGCTATCACTCTGACTGACCCTTTCCATGATTAGAGAAAATAGCACCTAATTTGTCATCCTAACTGAGTAAGAAGTGAAAACCCATTCAATCATTCATTCATTCATTCCACAAGAGTGATTCAGCCTCATTATATATATATGTGATGCATTACACTAGAGTCAGAGAAGACAGAAATAATGGTAAGAGAAAAATACAATGAAAGAATGGGTAAGGCAAGGCCATTGGCCATAAATTCTTAGAATCTAATTCAGTAAAAATATGTGCATATTTTGGACTAAGTTAGAAGAATGTCATGCTAGTGCTAGTGAAAGCATACTTGGAAACAATGCAGAAATAAGAAATATTAACAGGATTATATTTTACTTTAGCAAAGGTTTTGTGCACTTCACTATATAAATAACTAATGGGCTGAAAATGACAAATGCCCTTCAAAAAATAAGCGCTAAAAAATAGAATTGAGCAGAATAAAGGAGAGTCAATTTCTTGTAGTTATATGTTTTTAGAACTGCATGGCAAAAATAATTTTAATTTTTGAATTGCTATATTTCTGTCAAAATTCAGACACCCATATTTTGGCTTTCCATTATATTTTATCTTGGAGAACACTACCACGACTAGTTGGTATGGTTTGGCTCTGAGTCCCTACCGAAATCTCATCTTGAATTGTAATCTCCATATCCCCACATGTCAAGGGCAGGACCTGATAGGGGTAACTGGATCATGGGGGCAGTTTCCCCTGTGCTGTTCTTGTGATAGTGAGTTCTCATGAAATCTGATGGCTTTATAAGGGCCTCTTCCCCTTTCCATGGTTCACTCTCTTTTGCCTGCTGCCATGTAAGATGTGCCTTTGCTTCTCTCTCACCTTCTGCCATGATTATAAGTTTCCTCAGGCCTCCCCAGCTATTGAGAACTGAGTCAATTAAATCTGTATCTTTTATAAGTTACCTAGTCTTGTTTACATCTTTACAGCAGTGTGAGAATGGACTACTATACTAGCTAAACATTTTAACCTTTAAATTAAGAGAAATGTATTCAGTTGAGCACACAAAAATGAAAAAAAAAAAAAACAATTAAAGCTATTTATGATCATCTTTAAATAACATTAAAAGGAAATGGTATATTTTCAATGGAAAAAGGGCACTTTTAAAGAATTGCAATTAAAAATTATCTCAAGGTTACTCAAAACTGTATAAAAATTGCAATGTCTCATACAAACTAAGATGTATTTTTTCTGTACATATCAGTCATGAACATTTTTCTCAATATATTGATTAAGTTCATTCAGACACAGGCACACTCAAACTGATAATCTTTCCAAAAGGAGAGGTCATATATGATGCTCTCTGTGAGATGAATGCATTGGTGTGGGCTCCTGAAACATAAAATCAAGTGAGCCCTTGACATGTTCTAAGTAGACAGCACTTCTGTGGGCATTTCACAATTAATTAGACAGGGTGGCATTCTATTTTATCAGTGGTTTTGTCCACTTCACTACACAAAGACCTAACCTGCTGAAAACGGCAAATGCCCTTCAAAGAAGAAGAGCTAAAGACTGGAGTTGAGCAGAACAAAGGTGAGTCTATTTCTTGTAGTTATACATTTCTATAGCTGAAAGTAATCAGAAGCAACCCTCTTTAGATACAAAGACAAAGAATGATTTTCAGATACACAGAAGAACACAAAGAAAGTTTAATAAAAACATAAAATGAACTTACTGAGAACAAACAGTAAATATTTCCCCAAGGAGAACCAGAAAAGGTTGAACTTACCTGATCTACTATCCAGAGGTCCAAAATCCAAAGAATATTTCACGACGTGGTAGTTATTCCATACATAAAGAAGGTTGTCCCTGGGGTTGTAATCCACAGCTGCAATGTACTGGTACGAATTGGGAAAGGGCACATCCACCACACTGTCCTTGCTTTGGTCCGTGTTGTAAATGTAGTCAATCTTATTCCCAGTGGCCTCATTGTCGTCGTCCTCATATACAGATTTGACCACATACAGGATCCCACAAATCATAAAGGCATTGGAAGCTGACCTTTTATCATATGCGGTATCCCATGTTCCTTCGATCCGCAGGGTGTAAGGGTTCAATTGACTAATGACAATTTTACCGTTGTTTTGTTCTGTTGCATAGATCACCCATAACCCATTCTCATCTACTGCCAGGTCTATGTCAGATTTGCCTCCCCATCGATAGGGGGAGGTATCATGGTAATTGGCATTTGCTATGATAGCCTCTCCACTCTTTATCCTAGTTCGCAAATCAAACTTTACTATGTTCCTGGTGCGCTCTTTATTGAAGAACAAAGCTCCATCGTACACAACAAATCCTGTGCCATCCACCCTATGAGGAAGCTTGTAGGTTGTAGTTGGTCTTCCGGCAATGAAGTCATCCTTGGATGAATACTCAGTCAGGGTATCAGTTCTGTAAGGAGTCCAGGGCATATAATAAATCTTGTCAGATGCCTGCAGAGGGTCTTTGCACCACGCCCCAGATTGGTGGTCAGATTCAAACAAATGTTCACTCTGGTATACTCCTTTTAGTAGTCCAGGACAAAGAAAAACTGTTGGAAGGGAAACAGTTAAATAAATATATTAATTTAATATTTTGTTTTAGTTTTCATCAAATGGAATGCAACTCTAACAAGAGATACCCACCATCACTTATTTTGCTGAATTCTTTTAAGAATACAAAGTATTCTTCCACATTAATTTTGGCTTCATTTCAAAATCATTTTGATTTTGTTTACTGAAAAATATCTAGCCTTTTTATAAGTAGCTGTGCATTCCTGTGATTGTTACCTTTATAAACATGCTATAATATTTTTGGAAATATATATCAGATGTGACATATGTCTATGTTTTCTATAGACATATAAGAAATACAAATGTTTATATGCAATACTTTTATTAGTTTACTGAAGAACATATTTGGAAACAAAAATTATTGTTTCCATTCTGATGAAATTAGCCATTCAGTAGTTATCATTAAGAAACAGATGAATATCTCATAGTGATTTTTTTCATAAAGCAAAAGAAAAGCCCTGTAATACAGGCCACTGAATCTTTTAGCAAAAAAGCTCTCAAAGTTGCTACAACACACACAGAGCATGCAACCCACACAATTAAAAATGAGTGATGGATGGATACTGGAAGGAAAAGAGAAAGGAAGAAAAAGAAAGGAAAGAAGGAATAAGGAAAGAAGAAAAGGTGAAAGGTTACAGAAAAGAACCCAAGATCTAGATTTTAATCAGTTAAAAATGTCCTGTTAAATACAGTAGTATTGGAACTTAAAAACATGTACCGTTTACTGTTACGTGAGAAGAGCATTAAAACCCAAGATTACTTTCTATATTTTGCTGCTCATACTTCAGAATGAAAATGGCCAGGAATCATCTTATTCACTTGATTTTAGTATGAATCAGTAGCATATCATGTGAATTGTGGTAAGAAAGCCTGGCTGATTCTTCTGTAATGAAGGGGCTATAAAGCAATGTTTCCCAAAGGGTGCTCCTTGAAGTATGCGTTTCAAGTGGCATAGCTAGATGCTACACAGGAAGGAAAAAGGGATCCTTAGCCACATGTGCTTAAGAAATGTTATACTAAATATAATTGTGGCAGATATTCTAATGGCTTAGAATTCTAATAGCTTAGAATTCGTGAATCTCCAAGGCAGAAGTGGGAAGGGTGAGCAAATTTCACACATTAATTGGATCATGGGACCTTTTTCACAGAGCTTCTCTGGAGTATAGAGTTCCACTGAACCTACTATGGGAAACACTGCTCTACCATATTTGTAAAGCAAACACACTGAAAAATAATCATGCAGTCTATTGTTATGTTTGGAATGATTAGAAGTGTACTGGGTGAAAAAAATAGGAAATCACAGTAATTTGGATATTGACCCTTTTTTAAAATGATTGAAGTATTATTCTTTTGGTATTAGTGATTAGCTTTTAAACAGTAATTGTAAGCATAGATGCAATGGAAAACAATCTAAGATAAAACTCAGGTAGGTTTTGGAGACTATCAAAAAGACAAGTGCATCACTAAAATGACCAAAGTTTCACTTTTAAGTAAATAAAAAGTTTGGGGACAGGCTAACTACTAAAATCTTCCATAGCAAGGGCAGAGGGCCATCATCAATACATAATAAATAATTATATTGATTATAAGAATTTCATATGCTTGCTATAATTATAAAGAATAGGTGTCCATTATCAAAATTATGTATAAACTTTATGCTAATGTTAATAATCATCCTTGATTACTAACATAACTTACTTTAGGTAGTTCAGAAAACTATTTCCCATTTCCCCCTAATAGTTTAAAACTAATGGAGTAGGGAAACCACACTAGAGCTTTGCAAAATTTGGTAGTATAGAAATAAAAATAAATTAAAGCAACCCCTATTCATGACCATGAGTTCGATTTCTAACTAAAAAATAAAGGGGCATAAAATAAACTGTTGAAAATTTTATACTATTAAACTCTTCCAGATAAAAGAAGCTGACACTTGTCAGTAATACAGATTAAAGTGAAGTTGAGCAGCAGAAGTAGTAAATAAATTTTCATAAAATAGATAAGAATTAATAACAAAATTATTTTAACTAAATGTTAAACTGTTAAATAACTTAGCCTATAAATAGTATATAATTTATGAAAGGTATTTAATTACCTTTTTGTTCCACTTCTATTGGAGAGAGAGAAGTAAAGAGAGAAAGGAGAAAAGAGAATAGATTAATGGTACGGTATTGGCCAAGCACTTTTTATTCACCTCTTCCAAACTGAAAGTAAATAATTTATTTCACTCATACTTGCTTTACTGAATATTATATGTTTTAATAAAACCCATCTCTCTAATACAGTTATTTAAAAATAATTATATTATTTAAAATACAATATAAACTTTGAGAAAAGGTGTAAAAATTAATCAAACTATGATTAAATAAACATGCCATTCCAAACTACAGACATAAGAAATACAATATTCATAATAAGAACACAATATTTCCATTTGAAAGGCAGTTCAGCAATTATATTAAGAAAGCTTTCAAATAGTTTGGCTAGTCTCATTTATAAATATTATGGTTTATTCCACTATTTCACATAATAGTTGTGCTTTCTATGCATTTGAAAGAATTTGTTCAGAAGGAACTACTCAGCAAATCATTTTCTAAGGCCTGAGATTTTCCATAGCTTGTCAGTCTTACTAGAAATGCACCTCATGAGACTACACATTAATGTGGAATGCTCTTACCCTAAAGAAATTGATATGGAATCCTTATTGAAAAAATTTTTCTCCCTCCCACCCATTAATATCTCATATTATTGTGGAAAAATACTGTGTTTCACAAAACATGTTATCAGAAGGTTTAGAAAAATAATGAGCCACCGCCTCTGGTCTTTTCTGAAATTCTTAAGTGAGTCAACATATACTTATAAAACTAGAGATCCTCAAACATGTTATGTTTATACATTTCAAATTAAATTCCATAATTATTTTTAAGGTACTAAGCAATACAAGTCAGTGAAAATTTTGGGAAATTGTTAACATATTCACAAACTCATCAAGCAGCATCTCTTTATCTTATAAACATTTTATTTTACCAGAGACAATTTGCTACATTCTAACATGAAAAGAGGGAACAATGAGGAAAAAAAAGAAAAAAAAAAAAAAAAGAGGAGAATGTCAGGGAAGAATGAGTTCATAATACAAACTTTAAAAAATTACAGATTTCAAGTGATGTAAAACTAAAGCAATTTCAGTGGAAGAGATGAACTGAGATATTATGCACAATAAATCAATTTAAAACTCTAGGAAGGTTTCAAAAACAAGTGAGAAATACTGTTTGGTATAATTACATTTGGGTGAGATTTTTATACTTTGATCTAAGCTTGTATATTTTCAATTATTGTCAAAACCATACTCGTTTCCCTCCAACGACTTTTTTGAAGCCTCAATATCATGTTGCAAAGTGATATTGAGTGGTTCTATTCCTCCACATCACCAAGGAAAAACTGTTATATATCAAAAGTTCTTCTTAGAAAGTTGCAAACGAGGTTATGAAATTTTAGATCCTTCATCTCATTACTTAATAAATATTGTGTTTAAAATAATTTCAACTTTTATTTTGGAATCAGGGGTTATATGTACAGGTTTGTTACATGGCTATATAATGTGATGCTGAGGTTTGGGGTACAATTGATCCCTTCACACAGGCAGTGAGCAAAGTATCTAACAGTTAGTTTTCCAACCCTTGCCCTCCTCCCTCTCTCCTTACAAATACTATTTTTAATAATATTTCTTGGACACTTTTAAAAACTTTGTTATAAGATCATAATTTATCATCATCCTCAATTAATCTTTATTGAGTAATTCCAGGGTTTACTGGACTGTATGTCTCAAATAGGCTAATACAGGCATCTCAAGCCTTATCTGAGACGTACCTCATGCTTATACCAGAATAATAACAAACCTATATTAAGACAGACAACTAGAAGGAGCATAACTAAGTACCGTAACAAAGTGCTTAATTGATAGTCTCCAAAGTATAGACTTCAGGCCCATTATAATGAAAGCTGAGGTTGGCGATAGGAAGTCATAGTAAAGTGGATATTTTTCAACTACTGGCTTACAAATAAGTTTTCAGAACTAATTTGGATCCTTGAAGTGGCCTTAGATAGAGATATCTTACTGATAAACACAGAGAGAGATATTTACATTCTAAAACATAAAAACGCACATTTATGGAACTTTAGTCTTCTCATTCTAAAACACAAAAATGCACGTTCATAGAACTTCAGTCTTCTTTCACGTAAAACTCATAGACAGTCTTACTTTTGAGTGGAACTTATGCTAACTTCTTTGTGAGTTTTATTTCTCTCTTCAACAAAAACTTAATGAAGAAGGTAGGCTATCTGACAAAAAAATACTGACAATGGTATCTGTTATATTCTTCAAATATTATCCTACACTTTGATATAAATTTTTAATTTTTTAAGAGCTTCAACCTCTTTTAATTCAACTGCCATTTCATAAAATTTTGATTTTGATTCTCTGATCCTGTTTAATATCAGAAAAACTGTAGAATAAGTAAAGCTTGCCTTTGTTGATTGCTGGTTACACAAAATTAAGATTTATTAGGCTGTTGTGCTTTAGAGAAAATTATTATGATCTTGCCCATGTCATGACTGGCTGTAGCTCATTTATCATTTATTTGATATTTTCAAGACTGAAGTAAAACAGTCCTATAATTTAAGTTGAAACAAGAGAACACAAATAATATTTCCATAACAAAAACTGGCAAGACAATGTAATTTGGAATCGAAAAGCTTAGTAACACTAAGGATTGACCAGTCATTACCTATCATTTTATTCTGATTCTAGAAGTTCTCTTCACTGAATAAATAATCAAAAGACATGAATACAGGAAACAAGCACACTACTATATCCTGCACAACCACATAATAAATACTCAGTGAATAGCTCTAGAATTAAATATATAATCCAAATAACAATGGATAATTTTGCTTCTTGATATTTTATGTATGTTATAAAAAGAAAAAGTGGTGAAATAGAATCTGGATTCACTATATAAAATTATATTGCAATGCATTATCTGCATAATGTCTATGCATTTTAATGGATAGGGAGGAAAGTAAAATTTATAAGCAATTTGTATCTCTAACCCATTAAATGTAAAACTGGAGAACAAAGAAGAAAAAGTATATGGATGGCATTGTGGGTTATGCTGACAAAAAAACATTTGTTGCTATAAAGCAGCCTTCGATAATGTAAAAACACAGGACTGAAATATTCCCTTTCCTCCTCTCTGTAATGAGATAATAAATAAATGAATTGCATGATGACAAGTGTGCTAGGGACTTTTCAGGATCTCTTGTTTTTTAGTCTAGTCCAATATCCTGAATTCTGACATAGCTGTCATTGTTCATTTCCAAATGTTTTTGAAACTGGTTTGTATCCTTTTCTCTCTACACTTTTAATTTCCAAACTACTTTTACTATTCATTCAGCCTCTATAAATATGTTTATATATTTCCTTAAAGTGATTTCATCGTTGTCCTTTGTCAAACTTAATGTCATAAGCTATAGCCTGTGGTTAGAGTAAATGAAAAATCCAAATTAATGGGAATTTTATTCTGTATAAAAAAAAATAGGTAAAAATGACTAGTAAATTTTCCTCTATATTTCCCAAGAGTTCATAAAATAGATATAATATATAGTCATGCTATTGTTTTGAAAAATAAGATATTTGTTCAGTCATTTCTAAATCATATGCAATACCTTTGAATTGCATTGTTTAATTAGAAAAGGTATGGATCACAGACCATACATATGTATTGCCAAGTTTTTAAAAATTGTATTATAAATTACAGAGAAATAAATTTGTTGCATGCCAAAAATTGTTAATGCCATAACTAAGTACTATAAACTTGTATTAAATTCTAATGTTTACATTTTCTTTTCTTTTAAACTGTAAATCACAGAAACATTTTCTATTTACAATGTAAATGCTCCCAATGAATAGAATGTTGCAATTCAATAATGCCCCTGTATTTCTGTCATATATAAGAAAAACAACACTTTTAGGGCACATAACTTGGCAATACAATATTAAATAATTTATAAACAGTGTTTTTCATTGCAATGTAGTACTATTATTAACAGAATGAGTTTTCTTTTTACATTTGGTTAAGACGATATAAATACATTTGGGTACCCTTATCACACACCACCTGGGCAGTTAGGAAGATGGCAGAAAGGCAAACTAAGTAAGTAATTATAAAATCACAACCAAAGTTACCTGTAAGTTGCATAATCAAAAGTTCACAGTAATACAGTTTAAGCATCCTAGATAAAAAATCTGACATAAAAAATGTTCCAGTGAGCATTTCCTTTGAGCAACATGTTTGCACTAAACACATTTTAAGTTTTGGAGCATTTCAGTTTTCCAAAACAATGAATATATTTCAAATCCCAAATGTCCAAAATTTGAAACATTGCTGATCCCAAGCATTTCAGATAATGGATACTCAATCCATACATTACATATGAACAGCAAGTTATTATTTCATAAAATGCTGCACACGAATCACCTTCCTGAATTCTTGAAGAATTAACAACATAACCATGTGATATAGTATTTATTATTCCCATTAGTGAAGAGTAAAGAGGGTGAAAACACTACAGGATTTGAACAAAGTCAACCCTGGTAGGTGACAGAGTCCTGCCATTTGTCTAATATGCTATGCTGACTCTCACAATCTACAAACCCAAGGAAACCCAGCTTGATTGTTGTATTATTTTTCTCCATTTCCTTCCTGTCACCAAATCTATGAAGAAGCTTACTTTAGAGAAGACAAACATATAAATAGAATCCCCCTGAGAGTAGGCACTATATCTGGTATAATATTCCTTCATTAAGCACTGGAGTTTTACATACAAAATTAATTAATATTTAAGTAGATATTTAAATGCAGGCACTTTCATTATCCAAACTTTTCAAATAAGGAAACTGAGGCACAAATACCATGGCTCTATGTCTAATAAGCTTAGGTGGCCAAGCTTTGTTTAGGTAGAGTTGAAATAGCAATCCAAGTTTGGATATTATAAACATATTCATTATTGATGTTCAATATGATGAAAATGGATCTTACTCATCTACAGTGC